TCACTCAATACCACGTCAATTAACTCCATGATGTTGCAAATTGCTGTTGATGTTGTGTTGTGGCTTTTCATTGGACGGGATGATAGTCTGCCAGCTCTACGTTCAGACCAGGGATAGTCTCTCTCCCAGTGAAACTGCTGTATTTATCTGGACAATAGGATGCTGTATTCTATGCATAGTACATGCTCACAATGAAGGAATCATCACTGGATATGAATCGTACTACTGCAACAATATGGAGGAATCCACCATGGGGGGAGTTCGTGGGAAGGGGTTGGGGGAATTTCAGAGCCTATGAAACTGTGTCATAAAACGAAATAAAAATAAAAATAAATAAATAAATGTCAATTTTAAATTATCACCTGTTTAAATATTTTGCTATAACCTTTACTTATAGCATAAAATTTCTGTGAAAAATATACAAATAAGCCTACAGTTTCAGAGGAATAAAGAAATTTCACTGTTGACATTTGTTTCCATAGAAAATCTATGTATATTTCTTGACTACAGTGATAAATTATTGTCACTTACAGCAAGTCCCATAACACACATGTTCTTTCACTCTCAGGTAGCTGGGTTAACAGAATTCCAGTAACTTATTTTTAAAAGTTATCTCTTCCATCATCATTAACAAAACTGAAATGCATAATTCTATTTTTATGCTAACTCCCTATTTTTCTAACTCTACCTTTGATCTTCAACATCACAGCATCTCCATCATTAGGTTGCATGATTTAATTACTCAAAGACAGCTTGCTATCATTTGCGCAGAAATACAAAACTAGAATGGAATTTGGCACCAGAAACAAATTATTTTGCAATACAAGGCTAAAATCCACAATATATTGGTTTGGAGACAAACTGGCAGGTACAGGCCAGGAGGGCAAACAGGAGACGATTAGTAGAAAAGGGAACAGCAATTAGGAAACTGTATTTGAGGGCTGGAGAAACGAGAATGTGCAATAATTAGGCACAACAATTATCTTTACTATTTCCTGCTGTAATTGGGAAAACAGCAAACAGACTTATGAACTTTTAGGTCTTGTGAAGAGACTTTTGAAGCAGAGTTGACTGTGCTGTCACATTTTAGGCACATATAGCATGATATAAAGAATAGTTTTCTACAATTAAGCAAGTTAAAAAAAATAGAAGTTTCTCCAGTATAGCATTTCCCTTTTTGCTAATGATCTTCAAAGTAAGGCAATGTGTCAGGCAAATAACAAGTTCAGAATATTGTCTACAAGTAAATATCAAATCCTGACTATATTTCTAAGACATATTACTTTTTTTTAAAAGATTTATTTTATTTTTTCATTGGAAAGTCAGATATACAGACAGGAGAGACAGAGAGGAAGATCTTCCGTCCAATGATTCACTCCCCAAGTGAGCGCAATGGCCAATGCTATGCCGATCCGAAGCCAGGAGCCTCTTCCGGGTCTCCCATGCGGGTGCATGGTCCGAAAGCATTGGGCTGTCCTCAACTGCTTTCCCAGGCCACAGGCAGGGAGCTGGATGGGAAGTGGAGCTGCCGAGATAGAACTGGCACCCATATGGGATCCCGGGCGTGCAAGGCGAGGACCTTAACCACTGTGCCATCATGCCAGGCCCTAAGACATATTATTTTTACAACGCTTCAGAAAGATTTCCAATTCTAATACGTTCATCTATACTAAAGTTCCAACTATCCTAATGACCTTGTTCTGGCATGCTAATTCCCATCTCAGGACTGAGAAAGTACCATGCTACAAAAGGATGTAGGGATATGCCTTCTATCTAAAAAGGAAGGAGCATAATTTGATACATAGAAATCCTTGCATTTTTTAGTTGCAGTATTAAAATGGATAGAAATAAGTCAAGTAATACTCAATATCCTTTGGTTCTAATTTACACTTTCAGTTTTTTGTTACGTTGTGCAGTTTAACATTATTGTTCAATAAGAAGAAAATGCATAGCTAATATTAATTGAGCAAATTCTAAATAGTAAGCATTGTATTGGTGACTTTTCATGGAATATCTCATCTACTCCTCAAAATTAACCTCTAACTTTGAACTGAACATGCTCATGCATAACTAAGTATATACCCCAAGCACTTCCATAAAAGTCAACATGAGATGCTTTAGATGCTCATTGCATTGTTACAGAAACCTGTTAAGAAGAAGAAAATCATGAGGGAATTCAAAATCCACTTGAAGAAGTAACAAGAGTGCTTTATATATTCATTAATAATATATCAACTTGGGCCCGGTGACACGGCTTAGCGGCTAAAGTCCTTGCTTTGAACACTCCGGGATCCCATATGGGTGCCAGTTCTAATTCTGGCAGCTCCACTTCCCATCCAGCTCCCTGATTCTGGCCTGGAAAAGCAGTTGAGGACAGCATTGGGACCCTGCACCCATGTGGGAGACCCAGAAGAGGTTCCTGGTTCCCGGCTTCAGATCAGCATAGCATCGGCCGTTGTGGTCACTTGGGGAGTGAATCATTGGATGGAAGATCTTCCTCTCTGTCTCTCCTCCTCTCTGTATTTCTGACTTTGTAGTAAAAATAAATAAATCTTTAAAAAAATAATATATCAACTAATTAAAGCATTACAAAATAAAACAAAACAATAATTGCCTGAGTTGCGGGTCAGGAGCTTAGAAGCCACTCCCCTCAACCCACAACCCATGTGATGGCTTCAGTCCACCTGTGATGCGCATCTAAAATCAACCTGAGAAGGGGTGATAGTGCATTGTTGCAGCAACATTCCCTTCACAAGTCCCCATAAAGGCCCATGGTATGGAGGGGCTCACTCTCTTGGTCCTGTGCTTCCCTTACTCTAGCTCTCTGACTCTCGGCCTCCCAGTACCTGTTTGCTCTTTGGCTACTCTGTGGACATACTCTGAGGACAGGTAGCCCCTGAGCATGGTCCCTGTTCCTCTGTATTCCTCACCCTTTATTCATGGCTTGAGCAGAATGGTAAAGATGTCAAAGCTAAGATTTTTGTATTTCTATGTACTTTCAAGAGGAGAAGTAAAGCCTAACAATAATGCAATGTGGCTGGCAGGAAAAGGTGAATGCAGCTTTGTGTGTTCAGGTTGTTGTCTGTTACGTTCTTCTGATACCTTATATAGCTGGGGAAGCTGGAACAAAGGTCTTCAGTTTAATGGATGGACTCCAGGCTAATGAACATTTTTCCTCTTAGGATTTCAATTCAGACTGGATTGCTATATTGACTTGTCATTAGCTAATTTCTACTGGGCCCTGTTATCACCAAACTTGGTTAATAAAGACTCCTTAATACATCATAGACTTGTGTGGTGTGATCTGATCGTGCTCACACCTTGCAACACCTTCATTTTAAAGAAAAGAAAATTAAGTATTTTTAGGTTTTGCAGAACAGGACACTGGCCTGAGGGGAGTAAGAGTTCACAAGGGATCTTCCTTGCCTCATCTCCTCAGCAATGTCTGGAAGGCCCTATAGGAATTATTGGCTTCACAAGCCCTGTCTCCACAATGAGGACCCCACCTAGAGCCACAGGTCACTCCTCACAGCGGCAAGCTGGGGAGCTGCAGCCTTCTCCATCTCTATCCCCTTCCCAGCCTATGATGTATAAAACCCCAGTGCTATATATCCAAGGTGGCCATTCCCCTCGCAATGTCAACCAACCAGGTCGAAGTGTTCCAGGACCATCTCCAGCCAGGAAGCAGTCTGCCAGACTATCTCCCCTTACTAATAAACCTCTAGCTGAATTAAAGCTTCTGTCTCAGTCACGTCTGAACCTAACAAATATCAGTCAGGTAAAGCTCTCCAAAGACCCGTAAAATTTGGCAAAAATGAGATTTTCACCCTGGTTTTATTGTTTCAGAATTTTTGGTTTCAGAATATGCGCCATTATATTTCCTATACTAATTAAATTATCATTCACATATAAAAAGACAACGTGACTATATACCTTGAGAAGATTCGTTCTGCAATACCACATACTCTATTCAATTTTTGTTTGTTTTTTACAAAGGCAGACAAAGAGAAGGACAGACTGAGGGAATTCCAAACAAGCACCTAGGAAATTAGTCTGGGTCTTCAGCAGGCACACTGCCTAAAGCAAAACCAGTGTGCTTTATCTGGGGTTCTGAGGACACAGGTACAGGTCGTGGAAGGGCACCATTTGTATAAAGAAGCTTTCACAGAACCTGAGACAGCCTGCTGGTGGTGGTGAATAAGGCAGACCCGGAGCTGATACATCTGTGCTTTGACCACAAACTTGCTTTATAACTTAAAATAGACTCTTATAGAATTATCCTTTGTCAAATAGAAAAGAAATAGAAAAAAAAGACAAAACCAGAAATAAATCTACATTAATGAAGAGTAATAGCTGAGATCTAAACACAGAAAAGTGAAAAAAGAAAAAAAGAGAAAAAAACTTGAGTTGCTGTTCCCATAGCAACTGCATTGCAGTTGGATTTCACTTTTATGTTAACTAAGTTTAACTTGAGTAGGAATGCAAAATACTTCCTCTGAGCCAAAAGGAGAATTATAGAAAAAGAGAAACAACGGTTTAGAATATTCTGGAAACTAAGTCAAGTATTAGCCTGAATACCTACTAATATTCTCATATCAATATGTTCATTGGTTTATGTTCATTTATATTAGTTTGATACTATCTATATTCAAATATACAAACATGGTTTGTGAAAAATAAGGAAAAATCTTGTTAAAATCTGTTAAGAGTCCATGACTTTATAATTTAGAAATATAAAGATACTCTTCTGCTAATTATTTCAAGAAAATATTTGCTGAAATTACAATTTATGAAGATACAATCTAATTACATTCAGCATGAAGTGTTTTAAAGTTGACATTTTTAATTGCTGTTGATGAAATTTGAATCTGAAAACACACAGTACTTAAGAGAGTACCCATGTCCTTAAGAGAGGATACACACATAATTTTTCAAGACTTTGATAATTTGCATGTCTTTATTTCAATACGATTTTTTAAAAAAGCCGAAAGAGTACTTACTCCAGTTACGTAACGTGGTCTATATTGAATAGTTCCAAATAAACCGAGAATCACGATAATAATATGTATAAAATTGGCCAGAATGGGTGCCCACTGATAACCAAGGAAGTCAAATATTTGCCTCTCCAGCACACAAACCTAGAACAACAAAACAGAATGAACAGATCAGTACATTGAGAAATATCCTAGTAGTAAAAGAAAAAAAGGATTGCATTTGATATAACTCACAATTATAATTGTTGTAACATTTCTGACAATTGTCCTTCACAGTGAAAATATCATTTACAGGTATACTTGCAAAAACAAGTATGTAATTTATAAATCCAAGAACAACTACAATTCTTTTCAAGAATTTAGTGGAAGCAACAGCAGTGTCCATAAAGTCACAGGATACAGTGTACTGGCAAATACCTGGAGTCATCAAGCAGCAGATAGGCAAAGTACACATGAAGTGACTATTGTAAGCATATATTTAAAAGACATTATTCAAATTGGAACTGGAACACAGGGAGTTTGATCTAGAGAGAAAGGATCTTTAGCATTAACATATAGGATTTGGGGTACAGATTTGTTGTTAAACAACTATAGTCTCCTATGTGTGTGTAAATCATTTTCCTTATCTGGGTGTTTGCTTCAAATGTGACTTTTATTTTTTAGTCATAATTAGTTTCCTAAAGTAACCAGGTGAAAGAAACTAGAAGGAATTTAGGACAATGGAAATTGAAAGCAAAAATAAGCTATTTCTATTATGTAAGTAAGAAATTTAAGTGCTTTCTTATCACACTACTTTCATCTGCACTCATAACATGGATGATATTTTTACGTACATCTCAGCAGTGAGAAGAGAAAAACAAACCCACTCTAACCAACCAACCAATCAACAACCACCACTTGAGACTGGCCAACTATCCAGAAGTGCCATTTTTGTATCAAAAATGTGAATCTGGATAGTTGGCCAGTCTTTCAGGACATCGAGTAAAGCAAAGCATCTGGTGGGCTTTATTCTTGCTGTCCTTTCTCAAGTACACCGACAATAAATGATGTGTTCACAGAAAACATTCTCAAACAGCCTGAAGTTCCACATTAAGAGTTACCATTTTTTCAACTGTGTATGATTTTTTAATGATTTTTTAAACGATTTTGATAAGCCCTAAAAGCATCATACTACTTGAATGAAACATCAAATGAAAATACCAACTCTAAATGTAGGTAAGGTGCTTGTAAATTGAATACCTGTAGTTCAGTTTGAAGATTTCTTGAATGACCTTTACCACTATTCTTTAGCTGAACAGAACATTTTCCCATCAGGCTTTGAAAAACAAATACTTGCATAACTCCTGTATTTCCCAAGGCACACTGAATACCCTGAGATGGCTGCAACAGCCACTGTCCATCCTATTCAAATATTTATTGATTCTTTTATTTTTTAACAGGGCTCAAAGTTTAAGATCTCCAGCTTCTTAGACCTTGTGACCATCACAGGAAAGGAGGCATGTTAAACAGCACTTATTTCACTTCTCATCATTTTCATACAGGAGATTGAGGCATATTTTCCACCATCACTGAGGTACCCTTGCCTACTTCTAAAAAACAAACAGTACTGCAGATCAGTGCTGCAAATTACAAATAACTATGCAGCGAGGACCAAGAGATAGATAGGTGGGCTCTAGTGGGGAAAAGGGGCATACCAGAGACCCCCTCAAAACCTGTCTTTCTCTTCACACCCCAAAGTATTGTTCCTTTCATCTCTCCACCTCAGGTCAGGCCAAGGAAAGAAATACATCGGAAGGGTTAGCTGGTTTACTGGAGAGTTCAAGTCCCTCTCCGTTCTGCCTATCTTTAGACCGAGAGTTGTAGAAATGTTAAAGCCTAGCAAAAAGGCCCAGTGTAGCCTGCCTTCCTCAGCAGCAGCACTAGTTCACTGACTACCCCAGTCCCACTGACTAGGGTACTGGGTCCCTGTTCACATGTGTCCCTCACCACAGGGCAGGTGGCACTTAGTGTTTTTTCTTTCTTTTTTTTTTTTTTTTCAGCTAAGTGTATGAAGGCATAGGATAATGCAAATAAATAATACCTGAATATAGAACCAAATACATATGTGACAGCTCTGCTCTGATGACAAGACCCAGTAAAAAAGGGATAGAAATGGCAAGCAGGATGCAGAGAGACTCTTCTGCATCGAAGGGGTGGCACTAGGTTCAGCCCAGGAACAACCCCAGAGAACTGCCAAGTGAACTGTCCCAGGCCAAGAAACCCCTGCTGGGCAAGGGGGCTGAAGTTGTCAGAGGCAGACTGGGAAGTCACGTTCTTGAGCCTCACCTCAGGCTGCTCTCCCCCCTCAAGTTGCTCCTTCTACATACTGCTTCTTTCAACCAGTTCCGGAAACATCAGTTTGAAGATTTCCTCCTCCTGGTCCTGCAGTGTCTGGGACCCAGAGGTCCAAGTCAGGGGCACAGGACCTAGGACTGCTAGTTGCAGCATCTGAGCGGAGTTTAGGTGGAGAAATGCATCCTCCCCAGTACCCTGTTTCTCCCCAAGCCCCTGTTTTCAGCTTCTGGGCAGCAGCTTTTGTCCATAGGCTGGTTTGAAAGCCAAGCTTCTTAAGGCAATCAGAGGCTGAGAGGCCATGGGTGGGTGTGGCAGGTTCCTGGGGAGGTGTTGGGGGGACTTCACCGTTGGCATGTCCTGCACCTGTATCTTCCTCTCACTGGGGTGCAGCCAAGCATCATCCTTGCTTGAGTGTCCTTTTTCCTCTCTTTTTCTTCCTCAGGATCCACTGAACCGGCCTCTAGTCTCCGTCAGCATGTGGATGTAGAGGGTTTTCTTCATGAAGATGGAGTCATTTATATAAAGGCGGTTTGCACGCTAAATCTTTTCCACTATCACCACTGCAGTCGGTGCAGTCCAGCCAGGGCGGCTCCGGGCTGCAGCAAATGCTCGGCCATCTTTCCCTCACTGGGGAGCAGGCCCACCGCACCAGGCTCCAGTAAGAACACACTGGCGGTCCTGAGAGGGGGCTGTCCCATGCAGAGGCCACCTCCTCGCCCTGCGGGCCTCCGGGGTTGACCTGGCCAGAGGACGGAAGGGAAACCCACGAACGAAAATTCTGGAGGCTCTGTTCTCCTTCCTCGCCCCGCCTCCCTAGGCGCCATGCCAGCCCCCTCCAGCCACACACACACTCTCTCTCAGCTTCTTCTCCCTCGGCGCGCCGCTTCCCACAAATCTGTGCCCTGAGGAGGCTGCCCCTCATTGAGTCTCCTTAGTGCCCTTCCACGCATCCGACCCCCCCACCCCAACAACTCTTGGCCACGCCGACCTCTGACCTTCGAACTCTGGACACCCTCCTCCACGCTCTTTCCTCAGTCCAGCAGCGCAGTATCGGGACGCCCGACATCCCAGCTCTGGCCGCTTAGCTCACAAGCCCAGCCGCTTGGGGGTCACTCTAGAGCACGGAAGCGCGTGGAGACGCCGAGTGTGTGGCACACTTTCCACTCCGAGAACACGGGCCCGTGTCAGGTAAGTCACGCCCTCGCACCGGGCTCCATGGCGGAGTTCTGTTTCTCTCCACCCGCGTACTCTCCACCGAGACGCCAGGGCCCAGAGCCAGCGGAAGCGGGGAGTCCTAGTCTAGAACACTTCATTTCCCAAAAGGCTTTGCGTCCGCGGGGTCGCGGGGCACTCTAGGAAATGCAGTTCCCCTCAGCGCGCCGAGGGCGAGATTTCTTTATTGATTCCTTTTTGGCAGATATGAATAGGGGAAAAAATGCTGGACTATCCTAACTCGCAGATGCTAAACCCAGGATATTTTAGAATATCAACTAATGTAATGCAATATTCTAATTGATAAATATATGTAAACTATCATACAGTGTGAATATAATCTTCGTTGCATAAACTTCAACCTGCTCACGTGGCTCTTCTGTTTTTTAATATATTTATTTATTTAAGGATTTATTTATTTTTATTGGAAAGGCAGATACATAGAGAGGAGGAGACACAGAGAAAGATCTTCTGTCCGATGGTTCACTCCCTGAGAGGCCGCAGCTGCCCGGAAGCTGCGCCGATCTGAACCCAGGAGCCAGGAACTTCCTCCAGGTCTCCCACGCGGGTGCAGGGTCCCTAACCTTTGGGCCATCCTCGCTGTTTTCCCAGGCCACAGGCAGGGAACTGGATGGGAAGCAGGGCTGCTGGGATTAGAACCGGTGCCCATGTGGGATCCCAGCACATTCAAGGCAAGGACTTTAACCACTACGCTATCGCGCTGGGCCCCAAAAATGTATTTATTTTTATTTGAAAGGCAGTCTTACAGAGAGAATGAGGTGCCTTCCAATCACTGGTTCACTCCCCGGTGTCCTCAATGGCAGGAGCTGAACCACTATGAAGCCAGGAACCAGGAGCTCCCTCCAGGTCTCCCACATGCAGGGAGTCAAGGACCATAGCTTTCCTCTGCTGTTTTCCCAGGCAATAAGCAGGGAGCTGGATTGGAAATGGAGCCATGGGAACTAGAACCGATGACCATACAGAATGCCAGCAATGGGAGTTGGAGAATTAGCCTGTTGAGCTCCACACTGTCTCCTACGATGACATATTCTTAAAAAGAATTCATGTGGTCAACACTTTGTATACATGAGGCCAGCTATGCCATCAGCCCTCTACGACATGTGTCATCTACGTATCCATGAATGGTCTCAAAATTATCTGTTAAAGAAAAAAGTTTTTGTGAGAGCATTATCGCTAATGATTTATATAAACGCTCATTGTAGCCCACAACTCCCTTCTCCTTATCCTATGAATAAACAGTAAGGAATGTAAAACCAACAGCAAGAAAAATCTACACTCTATAAATTGTGAGCATCGTAACTGTGGAAAAACAGCAGGGAAAAAGTATAGAGGATGAAGCACATCAGTCAAACAGTGGGAACTATCTCAATAAATGTACCAAATACGGAAGAAAATAGCAATGCCATCTTTAATTATAAAAATATGTAGATGATAATGTACCCCCTAAGAAGCCAAGGTTAAAATGAAATCACATAAACATTTTTCCGGTTCACTTTATGACAGAATACGTTCTTACTCCCAAGGTTAAGCAGACTGCATAAGTTAACACGTAATCTTTCACTTAAAATATTTGTCAC